CCCAGCCCCCATCCAACTTTTGAGAAACTACCTATTTTCCAGAATCCAAAGCATCCTTGCAACTACACTGTACTCTGCATTAGATTTCTATGACTTGAGAGTGACAGTAACTTGGGGAAAGAATGTTCAAGTCTCCAGTGAACCCTCCAGATTTCCCCTGCCTCACTGCGGATGCCCAGGACATATCACTGTCATTAACTGCTCATTTCTGCTTCCTTTTTGCCCAACGCGGAAGGTCAGAATTCCTACTCCTATTGTAGCTCAGTTCAGGAAATTAGAGAAGAGGATTTCCCCCTCCCTCTTATGAGGTAGCTCTGTAGATGTATTCATACTACAATTCTAATCAGTAGGTCACATTCTATAGTGCTAATGATGATGCCATCAGGAAACAGAACCACTTAATCCATGGACCATCCTACTCTGTTGGAGATGCACATGGGAAAAGAGGTGAAAGGTGGAAGGTCATATCATATAGTCATCAAGCAAGATCAACTGAATCAACCCAACAGGTCAGCAGAGTGACAGGCTTCACTACCACATTACCCACGAATCCAGTGAAAGTGTGTAACACTTAATGGATTATCTTTGGTCTCCAGAAACCACTTTTTTCTGAAGGGAAAAATAAGGCCTGCCTTTGAAAACCAAAGTTCAGAAAAGACTACAAAACACGGGGATAGATATACAGGAACTAATGTTCTTTTAAAGACGTGCCATCATTATAACCCTCATGGCTATAATTGTTCACCAGAGGCTCAGTACAAGATTTTTTTTGCCATGCAAAGTTTAGCTTTGTAGTCACTCTTCAAACAGACATATTATATATTATTCTACTACATCACCTATCGTGAAGATTTTACTGACAAAAACAGATAAAATCAAAAAGAATTTTAAAATGTAGAAAGGAGTAGAATAAATATACCATATGAACACCAGATTATGCTATTGCCTCAATTTTCAAACATATATTTTTTAATCTTTCAAAATTGAGATGTTTTAAAATCCCTGTCTGAAGAAATCTGCCAGCTACCAGGCAGAGATATTACACATAGTAATCATTTCCTTATCACTTCAATGAGTTACCTGCATTAGCAGGAATGCTCTAAATTGCATTTTAACTTAAATTTGAAATTTATAATCACAGTGTGAAATAGTTTCAAGAAGATTACACAACTCAGTAAAAATAAACATTAACTGTGTATAGAGAAGATGGATTGTCACGTGCCAGGTAATGTAATTAAAGTCAGCAAAAATTGCCAAGTCTCTCAAAATAAATCAGAAATTGTTCAAAATCTAGAAAAGGCTGGTTTGAGCAATTTATATATCAACAACTTTCATCACTGTGGCAACTAAAAGCTTCTGACTAATGTCCAAGAGAAGCTGCTTCACTTCTAAAAATATTTAACTCAATTAAGAGAAAAAACAAAATTACATGTTTAACAAATAGAAAGTGCTGTCAAAATCAAGGAAATCTTCCATATGCTTCACAAACATTCTCAATTCTAAAAGTGAGAAAGTAAAAATCATGATGCTTTGTTTAACTACCAATGGCTAAAAGTGACCCCCCAAAATCTTAGTAGTCAATGCAGAAAAAAAGGCTTAGACTTAAACCTTAATTCTATGCAAAAGAGAAAAGGGTGCTATATAACTAAGGATACACCAAAGATACAAAGTTTAATAAATTTGTGTACATTTACTGTAACGGATCTTTTTACCCACTCCAAAAAAAGCTGTTACCTAAATATGAGTCACAATCACTTAGCAAATTTGAACACAGTATACAAGATGTTACAGGTGTTACTATATTTAACTTATATTTCAAAAGATGTGTTTGGATCCAAATACAGTATTCTTCAAAATAATTAATCGTTCAGAAAAGTAATTCATACTCAACCAACATTTTACCACAAAACAAAAAGCCTTGTCCTTGCTCCTATTCAACTTGACATTAAAAAAACTAGAGTTTCACTCAAAGATGATGATTAAGATTTTCATTTCCTTATTCAACACACACACAGTACCATAGTTTGCCATGTATACTGTATACTTTTTTGCCCAAGTTTTTGAGGGAAAAATAAGGAAGCACATTATACATGGGTATAATGATTACATACATGGGTGTAATAATGGGTATAATAACCCTGTGTATAATGCACACAGAAATGTGGGTGTGCATCATACACAGTAAAATATGGTATGCACTACGTTTCTGGGACCATTCTAAGCCCTTTATAAACAATGTTATATGAAGAATGGATACAGAAGTTAGAAATGTTTACCGGAAGACAAGGAGAACATGATAGCTCTTGTCAAATATCTAACCAGCTATCATGTGAGCAAGAGAGCCCATTTATCTTGCCATTAAATAAAAAAGACACGGAACAAACAAGAGTGAGAGATTCGGGCTCTGCAGAAAAAACTCTGAGAGCTCTCCAATGGCAGTCTCTCTACAAAACTATTATAATGACTAAATAGGAAAATATGTATTAAAGAACTTTGCTGTAAACTATCACAGACACATTAGAATTGACTTCTTTGCAATATAGTGGGTCCTGATCAATAGAAATGTTTACAAAGATGTTGTTTATGGGCTTTAGAGTCATAGCTGTTAGTTTATTTCCCATCTTTACAACTTATCCTAAATACTCAACTTTAGAAAAGTTTCCTTTAAAATAGGATAAAGCTATCTTTAGAAAGGTTTCCTTTAAAATAGGATAAAACTAACTGCTTTGCAGGGTTATTGTAAGAATTAAATGTGATAATGTAAACACTTAGCATAGTTCTGACACACTCAATAAATTGTATCTACAATTTAGATACAATTTAAACGTTGTGGAAGGAATCTCTACAGTGAATATAAAACTACATGATATGATGTAGTATGACTTTACAGCTCTGCTATGCACCGGTATGAGTACTCTTTTGTAATTTGAAAGAAAAAGCATTCTAAAAATATAAATAAAGTATCCAGGCTACTAAAAATCATGACTAAAAGTAAGAATATAATAGGGAAATCATGCAGCTACTGGGAAAAGGGTTTAAAGAAGTAGCATATTAAATACAAGCTGCTCTTCCTAGAAGACCTTATGGCAGGACATGAGAATGTACATTGCAGAGGAAAAAACAATTACCCTTTCCACATGTATGTGAACCTTGATTACATTCATCAGAAATATCAACAATATAAGGGTTACTAAGTACAATGTGAATATTTGGTCTACCAAGGCAATTTAAGAAGTGAATTTCAATGGACTAAGGAAAAGAGTTTAGGGATACTTAGGATTCCAATTACTTTCAACATAATTTGTATTTTAACAACCAACTCCTAAATGTTGCATTATAGAATACAGAAGCTCAATAATACTGCCACTCAGTATCTTTTATGATTACTCAAGAAAATCAGTTCTAACATACCATACTATCATACTTGGTCATATTTGTCTGTCTCTTATTTGAAAAGAAATTATCCCTCAAAAAAAACCTTTGAATTGTTTTCAGGGACATTTCTTTCAAAGGCAGTGGCCATTAAAATAAAACAGAGCTATTATTAAGTCCAAATGTGAAAAAGTTCTTAATAATTGACTAATAACCTGAAGCCACACTATATCTCCCACTAAAAGCTCTTCCCCAGTTAAAATATAATAACTACCAACAAACGACAACGTTTGTTGCAACAGTAGTAAAATAATTCCTTAAATTAAAGGTAGGAATAAAAAACTGGGTGCAGTTTTCAGGAACTTTTGGGGGGATTTAATTTATGATAAATGACAGGTAGTAATATTATTACGATACTATTAAATTCACAATACAAGCACAGTTGTTAGAAAATTATACAATCAACAAAATTCTTACTTTATCTCAATTTTTGCCCTTATTTTAAACAAGAAGCCTAGCGTCCAATGGAATTAATGGAGCTTATTCCACAAGCTTTTCATCAATTTGTTATATTATTTTGAGCAAAGAGTTCCCAGTGTTCTAACTGAACGTATGAAAAAGTCATGTTCAGTTAAAAGCAGAGCTAGCGACGTTACTTGCCAACTAGTTTAAATGGCCTGTCTATGAAATGTTGAAAATATCAGTGTTTACATGTGTTTTCATAATAAAAAGTTAACCCAATCGCAGTGTTTTTAGAACTAAAAAACAACAAAAAAAAAAACCCGGCTGAGTTAAGGCAAAAAGTAGAAATATAGTCCTTGAATAACAAATGATACTGTATCTGTCATATAGGCTACGATGAAGTTACTATGAAAAACTACAGTACTATTTTTAGTTGCAATCATTAAGATGAAACATTACTATTAGCGACTGCCTATGTAAAACAAGCAAAAAACTCAAAATTCTACTCCAGCAAATTTTAGCTACTCAGAAATCACTTTATTTGCTCTAAATGCCAAAAATTTGAACTGTGTGGTTTTCAGAAATCAAAACATTCTATATTCCATCTTAAATGCAAAGTGTGGACATTTTGTATCAAACTAAGTTTCCCTAAAGCGTTTAAAAAAAAAAAAAACCCTCCTACAAAACAGACAACCTGGCAGGCAGGAATCACAACCAGTTGGTTGCAGTCAAGTTGGAATCTGTATCTAACTAATGAAGGTAGGTGGGCAATATGTTAAGCCCAGAGTCAAGATCCCAAGGTGAGAGATGGGGTGAGAAAGAAATGTAGTTCCATAAAGAAAGAAAGCAAGCCAGGATGGATAAGAAGCAACCTAATATTTCTCATAATCAAGAATCAACACACATTGAAGGCCTGTCTCAAACACAAACAAAACAGCTTCTCACTAAAAACTTTGAAGTGGGCAAGGAGGAAACATTCCTTTGCACCCTCAAGAACCAATCCCCTGACCACTGGCATGCTATTAGTGAATCCATCGTGATTTATGGGCATTGACCCGGATAAGCAAAGGAAAGAAAGGTTTGTTGGAGAAGAACCTAGGATTCCAGAGGCACACCCTCGGCTCGGCTCGGGGAAGGAGAGGTGGAGAGGGGCGAGCACTCCTCACCGTGATTATCTTTCTGCCCGATATTGTGCGTGCGGATGAGAGAGGACAGTCTCCTTACATCCCCCTTGAAGACGCACTCGTGCACTGGATAGTGTGAGGGGCAAATGCCTCCATCCGCGGCGACGGCAATGGGATTGGTGCCCGCTAGAAGAGTCTGGGACTGGGAGGTGGTGGTTACAGAGGAATTATGCAGCGGCAGGGCTGGCGCGCCGGGTGGATTGGAGGAGGCCGGAGCTGTCTTCAGTTGGAGCCGATGATGATGGTTACTGAAGATCTTATGACATGCTTTGCCGCCCTTGCCGCTGCCGCTGGTGCCGATCCTGCCTCCAGTAAAGGTACCACTGAGGGCAGCCGCCGCTTCCTCATCCCCAGTCTCCAGCAAGTCCCCCTCTTCTTTGCTGGGCTTGTGGTCCCTCCGCAGTGAGCGGATCTTCTCTCCAGTCATCGCCGCCAGGGGCAGAAAGAGGGTCCGGGGGGCTCACCGCCGGCGACGGAGTAGGCGCTGCAGCGGCACAGGGCGATTAGAGCGGTGGCCAGGAGCCTCCAGCGCAGCATGAACTCCCACAGAGCCCCCGAGCTCCGAACAAACGCATCTCCCGGAGGAAAAAAAGCCGGCTCTCACCTAGGTACGAAGGAACGCGCGCTCGCTGGGGGGAGCTAGTGCTAAGGTACCCACGACACTACGATCCCGGCCCCTGCCGCTCCAATAGCCACCACTGCCTCACCCCGAAAAACAGGGCACAGCCATCTTCCTCTGCCTTCTCTCGCGAGAGCTCCCCCGGGAGTGAGAAAAAAGGAAACACCGCGATAGGTGAGCAGCAGGATCCCTCCCCCGCACTTCCTATTCCCACGGAGTGGCCGAGTGCCGGCACCTTCCAAGTAACGTGTTTCTGCCTCAAGCTGGAATTTCTTAGCTAGAAGACGGCGACCCGTCGCTCCCTGTGGTCGCGCTGCAAAAATGGACGTTCAGAAACCTTAGCCTGCGTTTGAATGTGTGATGCATCTTATAAACAATGACTTAAACATTCCGACCTCTAGGCATTGAGCAAAAGAGTGTACGTCCGTGTACGCAGGATATGATGTCACTGAGATGCACAGGACGTTCATTCAATAAACATTTACTAAACATCTGCTTCTTGCCATACACTGAGCTACTAGATTTATAAAACGCTATCAGTTGGGTTCTACGTTTAACTACCGAGGAATGAAGTGGATGCGGAGAGCTAGCTTGCACAAAAAAAGGGGGGGGGAGCAAATTTTAATATTAGAGTGTCACAAAAGTAACCGTAAAAGAGTTTTGGGGCTGAACTTGGAAAAAAGACTATTCAGCAGAACGGAAGAGAGGAGGTCACTCAAATATTTGTTGATGAATCAGTTTCCGGCAGGCGTCAGAGATGAAGAATGTGGACTGGACGCTGAAGGATGGCAAATACAATTGTGTAATTGGAATACCACTGGACTAATTCATGGCCAGTCTTGACTCAGCGGTAACATACTAAAAGAACATAAATTTGACATCCATAATGCCTTGACAAAATAAAGTTGTGGGGAACTGGAGCGGAGGGAAGTAAAACGTCCTCAATATCTTACCCATTTATCTCTCCGAAGTCCCATTTATTCTGACAGATGCTCCTCTCAAATATATTCTACCTTAAATTTTATTACCACCGCCATCCCCACCCCACCCTATGCCCCCCAACCCTCCCCTCCCCCCGCTAAAAAAAAAACCTCTGGGAATGGGCCTCTTTTCATCCTCTCCTACCAGTCAGGTTTTCATCTTCCATCTTCTTTCAAACCTATTCAAATCAATCTTCTTCCCTTCTTCCTTGTCTTTCTTTTTTGTGCAGGGTGGGGGTCGTTCCAATTATGTTCAAGCATTACCCAATCAGCACCTCAAAGGATCCTACTCAGAAAACATGAGACTGAACACATATACATATATAATACATATATACAAGAACATTTTGTTTTTCCACAATAGCCAATATTTATTGCTAACTCTAAACCAGGCAGTATTCTTTATATATTATCTCCTTGTGATAAGTATCATTTTTAATCTTCATTTGACAGTTGAAAAAACTTGTCCAATGCCTCAAAACGAATTCAACGCAGTCAAGTATGATTTCAGGGCTACAGGAATAAGACGGGGTCAGATCATTCAGGACTTTGCATGTGATCTTAAAAGGTTAGACTTATCCAAAAACAAATGGATAGACTTTTAGGGGTGGTAAATGGGAATAGCATGATGAATTTGCCTTTTAGAGAAGTCACTCACTCATACTTCTGAAAAGTGTGTATTGAGAATAGATTACAAGGGGGCTACTCTAGAGACAGGGAAAGAGGGAATAATGCATAAATCAAAAGTGACAATGTGTTAATATTTGAATGTAAAAATCTGGACAATATATATATCACGCAGTGTTAACAGTGGTTATCTCTGAAAGATGGGCTTCTTAAATCACATATTCCTTGCATTGCTTAAATGTCCTTTTACAAAGAGAAAGTATTACAATTTATTAAACAGAAAAATAATATATTAAATTTTAAAGAAGAAGTATGCAGTAATTCAGGTAATGAGAGATTATGAGATCATGAGCCCAATGAGTCTACCGTTATATCTGAAAGTATCACTGGGTCCAGAGTTGACAAATACTTTATTAGTGGCTGCCACTTGTGGAGAGGTGTGGAAACTCCTTTAAGTGTCTTTCCAATAAAATCAAATGCAACAAACATCAAAAATAATATTCAGCTTTTACTTTTAAGAGCTCCACATTCTAGACGGAAATTGATATAGAAATATAAGATTAAAAAACTGTGAAAATACAAGAATTGAAATTACATGAGATCCTGATATAATATGGAAAATTATTAATTATATCTGGAAGAAGTGAAAGTCAAATGATCAGGAAATCTTTCTGGAGAAAATAGTGTCCAGGCTAGGTTTTAAAGAGTGTATCAGAGTTGGCCAACTGGGCAAGGGATAGGGATGCTATAGGTAGTAATAGATATCACTCACTGAGAGCTTCCTATGCGTCAGGCATTGTGCCAAGCAAGTTTCAATAACAATTTGATTTAATCAAATTAAAGTCAACAAGTCTATGAGGTACTTACCATCCCTATTTTACAGATGAGGCAGCTGAGGCACAGTAAGTGATCATTCAGCTGATGGGAAAAAAGAAAAGTATGTATAAATATAGCATGATATTGAGAATCATTAGAGCATAGTACGTGACAGGGAAAGTGATGATAAATGAGACTAGCAAGAAAAGAAGAAAAGTTGAGCTAGATTACAAAAAACAACTGTACAAAACTCGGACTGTATATGCTAATATGAGGGAGGAACAAACTTTCCTCTCCCCTCAAGGTTCTTCTGGCTGGTCTAATAAATCACATAGACATGAGACAGGTTAGCAAGAGAAAATAACCATATTTAATACCTGCATATGTATGGGAACCTCACATACATGAGTCAGAGACCCCACAGGCATGAGGGGTTCAGAGATAGAAAGGGTGATTGAGGTGTGTATGACACCCAGAGCTAGGGATGATGTAGGGTCCCTATGACTTCAAAAGGCTATTGCGGGATGATAAGAAAAGCCGACTTTTAATAAATAGAAGTTTGCCTTGCCCGATAGATAGCTCAAAAGATGGTATCTCTAATAATCTCTTATGGGCAAGACCTCCAATCCAAATTCTTCTAGATAGTTAAGGGGGGCAGGCAGAAGGTTCTCTTGAGCCTGAGGTTAAAGTTGCTTTTAGCTCAAAACAATCTGCATACCACAGAGCCATGTCTTGAGATGACTCCTTCTGGACCCCACACTAGGTAATAGAGAGTTTGCAGAGAATTTTACCTGTGCACCAAAAGGTTAAGGGTTCGTTCCGGTCAGGGCACATACCTAGGTTGCATGTTCGATCCCTGATCAGGGCATGTATGGGAGGCAACCAAGTGACATTTCTCCTCACACCAATGTTTCTGTCTCTCTCTCTCTCCCTCTCTCTCTCTCTCTCTCTCAAAAGAAAATCAATAAATATATTTTTAAAACATTTTTTAAAGACCGGATCACACTTAACCACCATAATGTATAGTCAACCCATATCCCAAAGATATGAGATTTTGCCATTCATTTCAGCTTCACTTCCTACCACAATCAATGTCAAATTCCTTCTTCATTCTAACCAAAGCAATCTGCTGACAGTCCCTTCTCTCTCCCACGTCTCCTCCATACCTTTGCACATGCTATTGCATATGTCCCAAACTCATTTCTGTTTCATTCACCTCAATACCTCCTTCAGTCTGTCTCAAATTTGTTCAAATTTTATCTCTTCTTAGCATCAGGGTGTTGTTGGTTTTGTTTTGTTTTGTTTGAACTTCATAGAATTCAAGGATCTAAGAAATTACATCAAACTGATAGGGACTAAGGCAGAGGTTACCCTGATCAGCTTTACCCAAGGAACACTCATTTCTGAGCCTGGGGGGTGTGGGGCTAAGCCCTAAAAACTACAAAACTATTTTATAATGAGAATGAGGTGAGAACGATGGAGAAATAAAAACATGAGAGGTCAGGAAAAGTACTGCATCCAGACATTTAAAAATGAAATAAAACAACTCAACTATACAACTCAACTTTTGAATTTACTAGAAAACATTCTGCTCTTATAGGCTTCACTTATTAATTTCCCTCCTGGTGTGACAAAGAAATCAAATAATGATCTATTTGCCTTGAATAGCTGAAAGAAGTATGATAAGTATGTCTTTCAACTTTTTCTAATGAGGACTTTGTTAAATGCCTTATTATTCACTAATACCCAACAACAATTAGAGGATTAAGCCTGGTTCTAAGAATAAATATTTCTGAATTTTGGCAGAAATATATGTATTTGTATTAACTTCAGACAAAGCACCTAATCTCTATCCTTGTGTCTTCATTTAATAAAAGTGATAGTATCACAGTATGAAATATAGAGTGTTCTGTACAAAATAATAAAAACTCACTGGCTATACTTTATAAATGTGTCAACAAACTTCAGATAGGCAGCTAGTCATCTTACTCAATCCTTCTTACATTGTCTACTAATATATTTCTTTTTTAAGATTTTTATTTATTTTTATTATTTTTAAAGATTTTATTTATTTATTTTTAGCAAGCAAGGAAAGGAGGGAAAAAGGGAGAGAAACATCAATCTGTCTCTTCCATGCTCCCAACTGGGGACCTGGCCTACAAACCACACTTGTCCTGACTGGGAATCAAATCAGCCACCCTTTGGTTCCCAGACCAAATCCACTGAGCCACACCATCCAGGGCTGTATACTGATATATTTTTAATGTAAACATTAGAGCAGATTTAATCTCCACCTTTTTTTCTTTTTCTCTGGAGGTTTGTATTTCATATTTATTTTCACAATAATCTAGAATATGATGTTCTACACTCCATATTGTTTGAGCTAGGCCTAGGAGAATTTTGGTTGGATAGTTGATACAGCTGTCCAGCTAATGAAATTATTATCTTGAACATCCCCTGACAACGCTGCTGCCAGTGCACGGCCAAGTGAAAATAACAAACAAAGTAAATCAATACCTTCTTCACACATTTCACATCCATCTCCCCAGCTTTCAGTCTTTTCCTGTTTTCTCTAAAGCTGTACACTTCCTTTCTCAGAGGCAATGCTGGTTACTTTCCTTTCTTTTTACTATTTTTTATCAGTGATTATCAGTGAGTTAGTCAGATTTCTACTAAGTAAGCAGAGAAAATCAGAGAGACAGGTTGCCAAGGAAACCCAGAACCAAAAGCTGTGGAAGCTCCA